TGTGAGGGGAGGAAGTGGGACTGGAGGAGTCAGTGGGAGGGACTGGGGGGTGTAAGGAGGGGGACCAGAGGGAGCTGCAGAGCCCATCAGGCCCTGCACCCCTGCAGGTCCCACAGGCCCTGACCCTGACCTTAACCCTCACCCTAACCCTAACCCTGACCTTAACCCTCACCCTAACCCTGACCCTAACCCTCACCCTAACCCTGACCTTAACCCTAACCCTGACCTTAACCCTCACCCTAACCCTAACCCTAACCCTAACCCTCACCCTAACCCTAACCCTAACCCTCACCCTAACCCTGACCCTAACCCTAACCCTAACCCTGACCCTAACCCTCACCCTAACCCTGACCCTAACCCTAACCCTAACCCTGACCTTAACCCTCACCCTAACCCTGACCTTAACCCTCACCCTAACCCTGACCCTAACCCTAACCCTAACCCTGACCTTAACCCTCACCCTAACCCTGACCCTAACCCTAACCCTAACCCTAACCCTGACCTTAACCCTCACCCTAACCCTGACCCTAACCCTAACCCTCACCCTAACCCTGACCTTAACCCTCACCCTAACCCTGACCCTAACCCTAACCCTAACCGTGACCCTGACCTTTACCCGAGGGACACGAGGAGCTGCGGAAGGGCTTTGAGCAGGGACCCTTGCAGTTTTGGAAAGCAGAATGAGAAGACATCCAGGGCGAGGGATGCCAGGGGAGCCCCCTTGGAAGCTGCCACGGGGGGCGAACGGAGAGCCGTCCGTAGCCATATGGAATGTTCCAGAAGGAGAGTTTGAAGGACTGAGGATCGATGCAGTATGGCAGTGAGGCGAGAGCGGAGGCGGGGACGCGGCCCTCAGAAACCCTCAGACTAGCATTAGGCAGTGGAGGAAGAAAACCCATCCATCCCTGCCTGTTGGAGAGTTCAGGTCCCTGAGCCTGAATCCCAAACCTCTGTGGGGAAGACACAGATGGGAGTATAAAGGGAAGCCACCATGTTTTGGTTGGACACCATTTATCCACAGGACCACCCACAAGAGTTCTGGAAACAGCCCCCCTGCCTCCACCCTGACTTCCCCCTCAGCAATGGACCTGACCTTTTGGTTTCCAGAGGCCCCTGCAAATCCCTTCTTCCATCACTCAGCACCGAGGTGGGGGGGATCCCCATCTCTCGGGAATTTTAAGAACTCTTTGCCAAAGCTCCATTCCCCTGCCTGACTCGAAAGAGGGCCTGAAAATTGCCCCAATCATGATACCTCCCTTCTCCTGGGCACCTGCTTATGTGCCAGGCACTGAGCTTAACACTTTCCAGGGATTACCTCCTGCTGACTCAGAGCAGTCCTTGTTTTTCCAGTGTGAAAACTGAAGGTTGGATGGGTCGAGTCACTTGGCCAGGCCACACAGCTGGGCAGAGCAGAGACAGCAAGCCCTGCCCCGCTGTCCCCACCCTAGCTGTAAGCTGTCCCCAAGCTGTCACTCCCCTGCCACCCACTGAGCTTAGCACACCCAGGCACAAGCCCAGCATCCCCCCTGCAGCCTCGGGAAAACAAGCTGCTTCGGACAACGTCTTGTCCTCCACCGGCAACAACCCCTAAGTCTCCAGCGTCTGACCTCCGGAGGGGATTCAGTTCGGGAATAGCCAGTTCCGTCACATCTTTGGAAGCAGTAAGCAGCTGGGAGCGGGCTGGGATGACCACTTCCAGCCCCGCGTCCTGGGGAGAATCCCATCAGGGGTGCTGTGCCTCTGAGTCAGTCAGATGACCTTGCAAGGCGAACAGATAACACTTGCCCCCAGCGTCCCTACAGCGCGCTAACAGCTGTCCCCGGTGCTGCCCGTGGGCTTGGAGGTCAGGCAGCCTCTTCCACAGCTGGCTTCTCACCTGGATCCCAAAGCCGTTGGGCCTGGTGACTCTGTACCTACGAGTTTCTCTTACGGGAATCATCGCAGAGATGAGTTGATTTAGCCTCAGGGATGTTCGTCATATGATTGATTATAGTGGCAAGGAAAATCCTCAGTGGCCGAAAGGCAGCTCTTGGGGACTGTGAGTTGGAAAATGCTGTCTCCGAAAAGGGAAATTTTCGTCGCCAGTACGATGGTGTCGGTGACTGGACCCTGAGAAAATTCTGGGCAGGACTGTGATGGGACATAGTCTCTGGGTGATGAGTTCTTTCAACGTGTATTCTTTGTCACTTTCTGTAATTCCTAAATATTGTACCATGAGCAAGGTGTTAGGTTGTGACTGGAAACAGAAGAGCTCCTGCAGACGGAAGAATTCAGAGTGGACGGCGGCTGTCGTTCGGTCTGTGCTGTAGCCACTTAGCAGGGGTGACTGGGGGATTTATTCTGCACTCCCGCCCTTGTATACACCTCATTGGCAGTGTTCCCACGGACATCAGGGGTACATGAGCATCTCCAAAAGGCCAGAGAAAGGGAATGGGAAGAAGGTGACCCTTCACGGGATATTTCCTGAGTGCTGGGCCTTGTTCTAGGAGCTGTCACGTTTGCGTCTATGCTGTGGGGTGACCATTATCTTCTCGCTGAATTCTTATAACTTCTCTGCACCTCAGAGAGGGAAGTGAGAACCCGGAGGCCATAGAGCAGGCTTTTCCCCAGGCACTTGCTCATTCTGCGTGTGGTTCCAGAGAACCTGAGGAGAGAGGCTGGCTCCCCGAGGAGCAGTCAGCCCACCTCCACTAACTAAGCACCTACCGTGTGCCAGGCAGGATCCCAGAAGGGGATAGAAACAAGGGCACATCCCAGTCTTAAAGGGCACATCTGATGAGTTGCAGAATCCTGGAGCCTGCATCTGTCCTGTGACCCTGTGACCTCCCACGCCCAGTTCCCCGGTGCCTAACATGTAGGTGCTCAGTAAATATCTGTTGCTTAAATAGCTTACGTGTCACATTCTGCCTGGTACAACTGATTAGTCATCCAGGGTATACAGTGGTGGCTCGTGCCTGTAATCCCAGCACTTTGGAAGGGTGAGGTGGGCAGATCGCCTGAGGTCAGGAGTTCGAAACCAGCCTGGCCAATGTGGCAAAACCCCATCTCCACTAAAAATGCAAACAAATTAGCCAGGCATGGTGGTGTGTGCCTGTAATCCCAGCTACTCAGGAGGCTGAGGCAAAAAAATTGCTTGAACTCGGGAGGTGGAGGTTGCAGTGAGCCGAGATTGCGCCACTGCACTCCAGCCTGGGAGACGGCGAGACTCCATCTCAAAAACAAAAAAACAAAAGTTTAGGGAGAGGCTATGCCGTGGGTTGCAATCGCTTTGGGTAAGAAGGATGGATAGGAAGGTGGGAAGGCACAAGCAAAGCCGCAGAGGCCGGGAGTGTGTGAGACTTGTGTGGGATACGGCATGCAGTGAGCCAGAGAGTGGGACAGAGAGTTTATCTGGAGCAAGGGTGGCGGATGGGATCAGACGGGAAATGTGGAGGCTCGCTTGTAAGGGACCTTGGATTTCTGCAGGAGGACAGTCGGGAGCCCTGGAAGGTTTTTGAGCAGGAGATGATCGGAAGCATATTCTAGGATAATGTGTGCCGCCTGTCTTCCCATGGAACAGATGAACCCCGTTGGTCTTTCTGGGCCAGTCGCACACCCTAACCCCCATCTCCAAATTCCTCACCAAAAGACAGCAACTGAGGCCAGCCATGGTGGCTTACGCCGGTAATTGCAACACTTTGAGAGGCCGAGGCAGGAGGGTTTCTTGAGCCCAGGAGTTTAAGACCATCTTGGGCAATGTGGCAAGACCCCATCTCTACCAAAAAAAAAAAAAAAAAATTTTTTTTAAATAGCTGGGCATGGTAGTGTACACTTTTGCTCCCAGCTACTTGGGAGTCTCAGGCAGGAGGATCACTTGGGCTCTGGAGGCTGAGGCTGCAGTGAGCTATGACTGCACCACTGCACTCCAGCCTAGGTGACAGGGTAAAGACCCTGTCTCAAAACAAAACAGAAAGTCGGTGACTGAGCACGTCATTCAAAGCTCAGGCAGCCAAGGCCATCTAAACCATCAGCGTGCCGACGGCCAGTCCGAGGACAGGACAGGAGTGCTCTAGCTTCTCCCCGCTCGGCAAAGCACAAGCCCGATGGCAGCCACTTCAGTGGCCACATCACAGGGAATGGCCTTTTAATTTGCGAGGCAGACAAATGAAGGAAGATGGCAGTTCGGTCGTTTAATGGGGATGGATGGCCTGTCCTCCGTGTGCCAGGCACTCGGCTCGGCCCCGCGGTCAGTTCTGTGCTCATCAGCACCCTTGCTTTCTGCCTTCCCCCTCCGAGGACCCAGGCCGAGGGCTGAGACCAGCAACAGACTAGGCAGCAACAGCCCGAAGGATTGATGTGGCCTCAAGCGCAGTGGTTTGGACCTGGGTGTTGAATTCCACTTCACTGGCTGTTGACTGGCGATTTGATTTGGGGCATGTAATTTCATGCTTCTAAAGATGGGGATCGTACTAAGATCCACCCATGGGATTGTCGAGGGGCTGTTGTTCAGCCAGGTGATCTCATGTCCAGCGCTCAGCCCAATGCCTGTCCCAGGTTCGGTGCCCCACAGATGCTGTGTCTGGTGATGTGGGTGGGAAACACCGTGGCTGCAGGAGCCTGGCCAGGCAGGGGCATGGAGGTGCCCTAGCCAGATCCATGAGTTGGGTAACGCTGAAGGTGGAGAGAAGTGTGGCTAGCCTGTACTGTGCGGAGGAGACAGGGCCATTGAGGAGGGGCCGGGAGATGCCCCGCAGGGCTCTCCGTGCCAGATGGGGTGACCACTCCATCCCAGTGTGCTCACTTTTAGCCCTGAAGGTCCCAAATCCTGTGGTATCTTGGACAAACCAGGACGATTCATCACCCTAGTGCCCAGCCAAGATGTCTGGCCCCACCTAGGAGGGCAGCAGGGAGCAGGGATGGGTTTGAGCTGGGGGACATGCGTTGTGATTTGCGTGTCAGCCGGGGCGGGGGTTCTGGGCACGTTTCCTGGTAGAAATCTCACCTCTGGCTTGTCTTTGCAGGACCAGCTGAAGCAGTGTTTCTCCCGGAGGCCCGCTGAAGCCAAGGACACTGATACCCTCGTGCACGAAGCCGACAGCCAGTATGGGACCTGGACAGAGCAGCGCCAGAGCGGGGAGAGGTGAGACGTGTGTGGCGGGATACTGGCTGCCAGGGGGCTTCTGGGCTGGAGTTGCTGCAGCCCACCCGCCTCCTGATTTCCATGTTGCTAAAACCGCTGATCTGTAATTATCAGAGGAAACCATTCTTGTTTTAAAAAAGAAATTTAGGAAGTACAAAAAAATAATAATAAAGATGGTGGGCCGGGCTATTTAGGAAGTACAAAAAATAATAAGATGATGGGCGGTGGCTCACGCCTGTAATCCCAGCACTTTGGGAGGCCGAGGCAGGTGGTTTGCCTGAGCTCAGGGGTTCAAGACCAGCCTGGGCAACACAGTGAAACCCCATCTCTACTAAAATAGAAAAAATTAGCTGAGCATGGCGGCATGCATCTGTAATCCCAGCTATTTGGGAGGCTGAAGCAGGAGAATTGCTTGATCCTGGGGGGCGGAGGTTGTAGTGAGCCAAGATTGTGCCACTGTACTCCAGCCTGGGCGACAGAGCGAGACTCTTGTCTCCACAAAAAAAAAAAAAAAAAAAAAAAAGATTATGGGTCAGGTGCAGTGGGTCATGCCTGTAGTTCCAACATTTCAAGAACCCCAGCAGGCAGATCAGTTGAGGCCAGGAGTTTGAGACCAGTCTGACCAACATGGTGAAACCCTGTCTCTAATAAAAATACAAAAAAAAAAAAAAAAAATTAGCTGGGTGTGGTGGTGGGTACCTATGATCCCAGCTGCTTGGGAGGTTGAAGCATGAGAATCGCTTGAACCTGGGAGGCAGAGGCTGCAGTGAGCCAAGATCATGCCAATTCACTCACTCCAGCCTGTGTGACAGAGAGAGACCCTGCCTCAAAAAAAAAAAAAAAAAAAAAAAAAAAAGATAATGCTACATGAAATATCCAAGATAGGCAAATCTCATAGAGACATAAAACAGATCAGGTGCTGGGGGTGGGGAGCTGGGGAGTGACCGGTCGGTCCATAGGCACCTGAAGGCTTCGTTTTTGGTTGATGGAAGTGTCTAAGATGACAGTGGCGATGGCTGTACAACACGTGTGACCATTGGCAAATTGTATTTTACCACGGTGATAAAAATTACGATAAAGTCACCGATATTAAAGCTGGGTGGAGGTTGATGGAACTGAAAATAGATAAGAAAAAGTCGAAGGAAAGCAAAGGGTTTTTCCAGTACCTGGGAAAGCTGTTTTTCCCACTGACCCGTGACATGTGTGTTTAGTTGCGAGCATACGTAAATTTCTCTAGAATGCTCCTGCAGGAGCACTGGGCTGAGAGTCTGGAAAGCCAGGTCTTGTTTTTGCACGTGTCGCTGTGTGACCCTAGGAGCCCCTTCTCTCTCTTGGGGTCTCCCTTCCCCAGCTCTGACCTTGGGACCCGTGGGACCGACCTAGAGCTTGGACTTGGGCGCACCCTGTGGGTGGGCGCCCCCTGCTGTCCCGCAGAGGCACTGCTGCTTCTCCTCCTTGGGCCACCCCAGGAGCATGACGCGCCCAGCTTTGAACAGTGGCGCCACCTGCTGCCTCTCGGTGGTATTACCCTCATCCCGTGTGGGTTTGCCTCAATCCACCGTACAACCTTTTATATGGCTAGTAATAAAATCATCCCAGAGCTGACAGAAAGCATGGCCAAACGCCAGCACGCCTACGGACAGTTCTGCTCAAGGGAGCAGCCGGGTGGTCTTCCAGAGTCGGTCCCCCTGTCAGGTGCGCCCACCTGCCCTTTCTCAAGGTAAGGGTTTCCCATGACCTGGAGGCTTTGCTAGGCTCTTGGCTTAGGGGTCTTTTTTAATACGTGGGCGGAGCAGGGCAGCATGTTGTTAATGACCTAAATTATTTGTAAATTTTCTGTCTTGTGTGGTTCCAGTGACCCAAGGGATACCTGACTATATCATCATAGGAAGAGAGTTCAGAAGTAGGAGAGAGCCAGGGACATGGACACAGGAGTGGAACTGCCTGGGCTTAATCCCAGTTGTGCTGCTTGGGGCAAGCTAATTTACGTCTCTGTGCCTCAGTTTCCTCACCTTTAACAAGGTGAATATTTAAGCTCATGAGGCCAATGATATTAGTCTGTTTTCACACTGCTATAAAGAACTGCTGGTGACTGGGTAATTTATCGAGGAAAAAAGGTTTAATTGGCTCCCAGATCCACAGGGGTGGGGAAGCCTCAGGATACTTAATCATGGTGGAAAGTGAAGGGGAAGCCAGGCATGTCTTACATGGCAGCAGGAGAGAGAGAAGGGGAAAGTGCCCCACACTTTTAAACCATCAGATCTCAGTATCACAAGAACAGCAAGGAGGACCATCCACCCCCATGATCCAGTCACCTCCCCCCACCAGGCCCCTCCTCCAGTTTGACATGAGATTTAGATGGGAACACAAGTCCAAACCATGTCACCAATCCCAACTCGTACGATTGTGGCAGTTACAGGATAATCCTCACAGGACTGTTGGAGAGGATTAAATGACACATTTTTTAGCACAGTGCCTGGCACATAGGAAGTGCTCAGTATGTTTTTATTGAATGAATGAAGTAATGCGGATCCTACCACCTTCTCATCATGGGTGACTGTTGATAACAATTTGACCTACGTCAGCACTGTCCAACAGAAATACAACATGATGATTTGATTCTTATGCAGTATATCCATGTATCGAAACACGCTCTGTACCCCAGAATCATGTATCATTACTATGTAGCAATTCTAAATAAAAAAGAATTACAGTGTAAGCTGTAAAGCAAGACATATATATTTTTTAAAATGTCCTGCTAGCTACACCAAAAGAATTTTTAAAAAGTGAAATTATCTTCAGGAATGTATTTTATCAAAACCAGTGGATCCAAAGTCCTATCATTTTCACATGTAATTAACATGAGAATTTATTAACAAGGCAGTTTACATCCTTTTTTCCATTCAAAGCATTGGAAATACAGCGTGTAAGATACTCATGGCATATCTCAGCTCTGTCACTTGTCCCATTGCAAGGACCAAACAGCCAGCTGCGGTAAGCAGCTCCCATCCAGGACAGCGCAGGGTTAGAGGGTCTGGAGTGGCCCAGGACTGACTCCTCCCATTCTGTGCCTGGCCAGGTGTTCCAGGCAGCACCTTAAGCAGCACCTCGCTGGCATACCTTGTGCTGTTTCCAAAGAGGGTCTTCTGCTGGGATGCTGTGTCTGTCATTACCGGGTCAAGCACACTCCAAGCTATGCCACCTGCGGCATCCTTCACTTGAAAGCCTGTTCTCTGAAACATTCTCCACAACCATGTCTCCCTTCATTCCCTTTTTTGCAGCTTGACCACTGAGTCCCCAGATAGCAGTGCCACATCAACAAGGAAACAGCCCCCCAGCAGCCGCTTGTCCTCTCTGTCCTCCCAAACGGAGCCCACCTCGGCCGGGGACCAGTATGATGGCTCCAGGGAGCAGCGGAGCACCAGCGTGGACCGCTCCAGCACCGACCTGGAATCCACCGACGGGATGGAGGGACTGCCCCCGCCGGATGCCTGCCCTTCAAAGAGAGTGGATGACTTCTCTTTCATTGATGTAAGTCGGTAGCCAGGAGCACGTGGCTGCATTGGAAATAGTCATTTCTTCTTAAACGGAAATTCCAGCCTCTCTCTGTGCATTGCTGCTTCAGGTGTAGGATCTGTATGGCAGGGACCCTTGGAGTGGGTACAGAGGACACTGTCTTTGAAAGGGAATCACTTGTGCATATGTCTTGGACCTACCATGCACCTGCTGTATGTCTTGGGGCAAATGTCTTCACCTCTCTGAAGACCTCCTTGTTCACTCGTAACCAGCACCGTCAGCTCCACAGCCTCAGATACGATTGTGTGTGTTCACATTAAAACTGATCTAAGCCCTCGCCTGCCAGCTAAGCAGGGAGTCTGACCACTTACCCCTGGGACGTCATCCTGAGGTTTATAGTTCCAAGCATGAAGAGGCTGGAGTATGCTCGGAATGATTCTGCTGAACGTTCCCACTGAGGTCTTGCTTGGTAGAACGGTGTCCCTGGTACCAGGCGATCCGGCTGTCTCTGTTGTGGCTCTTCCAGGACAGAAAGCCCCCTCAGGCATGGGTAGCTTTCATGAGGGTCCCAGGGGACAGCCCCTAAAACTTGGCTCTTTCTGGTCCCAAGCACAGCCAGGATGTCAGCTGCCCCCCCGCGTAGCAGCTCAGACAGCCTCCTGCTCTAGCAGCTTCCACACCAGAACCTACCCTCTTTTCTCCTGGGAGTCCCACCTCCAGGGGGCAGGCAGGGCTTCCTTTTCAACCCTTGAAACCCAGGGGTGGTGTGTTATTCTCCTCCCTTCACAGTAGCGCTGCCTGCTCACTCTCCAGGGCATGGAACATCCATGAAACCTGGAAGGGACCCTCTCTCCTGGCAGTAGAGCCTCCTAGCTACACACTTGGGCATGGCTACCCACATCTCCCCAGAGGAGGAACACCACTGCTTTAGAAAAACAGCTTGGTCTAGGGCTTCAAAGGGGGTTCACCTTCAGTGTATGGCCAGGGTCTCTTGCTGGCACCCCTAGATCAGGGCAGAGACAGAGAAAGACACCAGATCAGCCTTGATTGGGGATCCTCATTATATAAGCATGGCTATGGCCATGCCCACCCCTCTGGGTGTCATCAGGACTTCGTTGAGTGATGTATTCAGTTATTCACTCAACAGACATTTATCAAGACCTTGCTATGTGCCTTTCGTCACTGAATCATTAACTTTCCTTCTAGAGCATACTAAGTGGTTCCTTCTCGATGTCTGTTATACACAACAGTCCCTGAGTGTTGACCACTGGCCCAGGCACCTGCTAATGACCCCGGAGGCAAAACTGTCTGCCCATTTTGCAAATTGGCAAGTTGAAGTGGCCATGGAGTGACTCTAAATGCTGGTGGTGTCCCTAAGCATAGGCCGAACACTTTTTGAAATTATACTGAGGTTTATGTGTGGTGCCCACCACAATCTGGGTCTCCTGTGGGGATGCTGAGGGTTATGTATGGTGCAGACCGAGATTTAGGTCTCCCGTGGGGACGGTTTGGAGCAGAATGGGGAAGTGGGTGGTGGGTGCTAAGGAATCCAGTCTCCGTAGCAGGCTGAGGATGCAGGGGTGGCACCGTCTCCGCTTCTGAGCCAGCCCTCTGTCAGAGTGACTCTGTCCTGCTCTCTCAGAGTCTGCCCACCTGGCTCTCTTGAGTGGTTAGAGAAGCACCCGCCTCAGGTGCAGCAGGTATTCTCCGATTTTCGTCCCTCCCCATCTTTTCACTGGTACCATGCGGGTCCCCTCACAAGACGCCACTGTGGCTGGTTTGGGAAGTAGATGTGTAGATGTCAGCTCCCTCCACCACCCCTAGTGGGGCATTTGTCACTTACCATCTTTGGGAAATGATCCATTGAAATTAGCCTGTTATCACTGACTTAAAAGGCCTTGGGTGATGGAATTTCTCCAAAGTCAACCTAAGCGGAAGAAACCAACATTTCATGTAAGAACGCGAGCCTGGCCGGACGTGGTGGCTCAAGCCTGTAATGCACCCCCCCCAGCACTTTGGGAGGCCGAGGTGGGTGGATCACGAGGTCAAGAGATCGAGACCATCCTGGTCAACAAGGTGAAACCCTGTCTCTACTAAAAATACAAAAATAATTAGCTGGGCATGGTGGCGGGTGTCTGTAATCCCAGCTACTCAGGAGGCTGAGGCAGGAGAATTGCCTGAACCCAGGAGGCAGAGACTGCGGTGAGCCGAGATCGCGCCATTGCACTCCAGCCTGGGTACCAAGAGTGAAACTCCGTCTCAAAACAAAAAAAACAAAACAAAAAAAAAAAAAAAAAAGAACGCAAGCCTGCCGGAAAGAGCTGTTGGCTGTGAGCCTTGGTTGGTCAGGCACTGTCTGAAGCAAGGGCTTTCCACACCTGAGCTCAGGGAGTTCTCGGCCGCTGTAGGAAGGCGACGCTCTGATTACCTTTTTATAAACAGGGACACCTAAACTCAGAGCAGTGAAGCGCATTGCCCAAGGTTGTAGGAGTTCAGTCAAGGGAGTGGGAAATTGTAGGGGAAGGACACACAGCTTGGAAGGCTGGGAGGTTCTTGCAAAAACCTCGGAATAGGATTTGGCTGAAGGCAGCCAGATTCTCTTATCTGGCGCTTGAAAGCCCAGACCCCTAGCCCATTCCTTCACTTAATATCTGTGTTAAGTGCATTTGTTCATAAATCACTAAGTCAAAGTCTGTAAGTCAGACCCGACACAAGGTCACACAGCCAGGATGGAAACTCAGAAGAGTTTGATCCAGAGCTCTGAGTACTTCACTGCTCTCTCCCAGGAGGCTTCTGAGCTAGGCACTTCCCATCTCCTTATGGGGGCCCACCCAGATGGCCTGCCCCCCGCACCCTTTCACTGGGGACAGCAGTGACTTGGTAGCCCTCACCGACCCGCCTCCCCAACCTGTCACAGCTCAGAGTGTGAGTCTTCAGGGAGGACTGTAAACGGATGTCTGATGTTTAGTGAGCTGTCCCCTCCCTTCCCACCTGCACCCTAGATTATGTGAATAAATGAGGAATAGCATGGAGAACCTCTCAGCCTGGGGACTCTGTGTGAATATGGTTGACAGAAGGATTTAGTTAGACGTTGAATCCAGTATTCATTCAATAAACTAACATTTATTGAGCTCCTGCTGTGTACTGATCATTGGTGTAGCTTACATGCTTGTGTGGTGGATGTCCCTGGGAGGGAAAAGGCGTTAGTATTATGTGCCTACTGTGTGCCTGGCAGCCAGGCAGGCACTGTACTAGGGCACTCAAGGCCCGTTGTTCCACCTGGCTCTTGTCGTCAGCCTATGGGTTATGTCTTATGGGGAAATTTAGGCTTTGGGTGTTAGGTTTCTATTAGAATGTGGAAGCACTGGCCTAGGTACTAAGTAGCCTCTCATCTATCAGTGAAGCTGTGTACACCACCCCTGCCAGGGTGGTACCCTCCATTGATGGTTCCCTTGCTTTTTTTCCTCTTCCTCCCTGCTGCCCCTAAAGCAAACCTCAGTCCTCGACTCAAGTGCCCTCAAGACCCGGGTGCAGCTCAGCAAGAGAAGCCGCCGCCGGGCCCCCATCTCCCACTCCCTCCGGCGCAGCCGATTCAGTGAGTCTGAGAGCAGATCGCCTTTGGAGGATGAGACGGACAACATGTGGATGTTCAAAGACTCAACGGGTATGCTCATGCCTTCCCGCCTCCTCAGATAGCTCACTGAACAGCAGGAAGGATTTAGACTAAGCCCTAGGAAAAAGTTCTTGACTTGGAAGGCTGTATATCACTAGAACACAGTTACATAGGAAACTGATTTCTTGTTATGCAGAACTTATCAGAAACTAGGTACAAAAGTGTTTTGAAGATTAATATGTTAATTGAGGCTCTTTGAGTTACAAGAGACAGAGACACAACTTACTAAGGTTTTACTGTTTCTGCTTTTATTTTTATTAAATTCACCCCATACTCCCATTAGGTTTGCTTGCTGGTCCCTGAGTTGAAAGATCAGTTCATTTATTACCAGTCTTTTCTGTTTTCTAATGTATCATTTAAGGCTATACATTTTCCTCTGAGGACTGCTTTGGCTGCATACCTTATAAAACCTGAGCTGAATTTTGAAGAATGGATAATAATTAGGGAATGTTATTCCGGGCAGAAGTATCCACAAGATCAAAGGGAGAGAGGTGTGGAAAGAACATTCGGTGTGTGGCAAGAGCATCTCTAAGCAGTTTAGTGTTGCTCAAGCTGTGAATTACAGGAATCATGCTGGAAAGGTAGGCAGGGGCGGCCAGATCATGGAGATCCCGGATGCTTTGCTAAGACATTAGATTTCATCTGTAGATGGAGAGCCAGGAAAGACTTTTAAGAAGAAACAAAATTTCTTCTTGCAGTGGAAACGGGAGCAGCTGACCTTTCCACTCTATCCAGACACAGCCCTTAGTCCTCACGAACATCTTGTAGGTGCCCTTGTTCATTTGCGATTTGCCCATGGTAAACATTAGGATATCAGACCAGGCTCTGAGCTGAGTGAGAGGCATTGCTTCTGACCAGATACTTTAAACAAACGCTTGGAGAGTTCCCTCCCGCCCCATCCCATTTCTGTCATTAAAGGAAATGTTTAAGTGCCTTGGGTGAGACTTCTCTGCACACTGTTTTGGTTTTCTGAGCCAAGCTCCATTAAACCACCTGGAGCAAATGAAGACCATAGTAGGGATGAAAGCACGCAGATACCCCCAGCTGGAGCACGGCAGCAGCAGCCCTGGCTCCCATCAGCCTTGAGGAGCTGGCCAGGGGCTGGCTGGAGAAGGCAGGGTCTGTGTTTTCTGAGCATCCCTCAGGTCCCTGGGTGGCCCAGGGGCTCCAGAGCACCAGGTCTCGCCTTGTCCATCCCACACCATCCTCCAGTTCTCACTGTCCGTGCCAGCATCCAGATCTCAGGGAGGTAGAAGTTCCTCCCATATCACTCCTGGCAGAGTGGACCCACAGCCCATCATTCAAAAGCTTGAGTGATCAGCTCAGCCTTAAGCACGGGGCTGGGGTTAAGTCCCAGAAAGGGGAGCCGGGGTCAAGGAAAGTGGCTTTTCCTGGTCCACCTTTGGGCCTCCTTTCCACAAGACACACGAAGCTCTCCATGTTCTCCTCAGAGCATAACCTCAGTGCATTGTTGGCTGAAAGCATTTGCATCTACTTTCCCGCCTCTGCCAAAGATTTCCTTCTATTTCTCTGACTTGGAATGAGCCAGGGGCCCAGGAGATGGGTCTGCCTGCACCCCCCCACCCCACCAAGAGAAAACCTGCTCTGCCTGTCATCAGTATCTTCTGGCAAGAAGCAGAGTTATGAGAAGAGAGGGCGTGAAAGCAGGCACCTGGATTGTCCTTATCTGTAAAATGGGCCGTAGTATCTTCTGTGCAGGTCTGATGTGAGCATTGCGTGAGATACTGTGTGCAAATTATCTGGCACTTAGACCTCAATACGTGGCAGCTGCCAATCATTCAGTGCCCTTTTCTTTGCAACAGAAGAGAAATCACCCAGGAAGGAAGACTCAGATGAGGAGGAGACGCCATCCAAGGCTGAGAGAACCCCCGTCAGCCATCCTCAGAGGATGCCCGCGTTTCCAGGCATGGATCCGGCAGTGCTGAAGGTACCAGACCTCTCACCAAGAGCCATTTGGTGGGCATGCTCCTCAACCTTAGCATCATGAAGAACAGACCCCTTCCTCCCTTCCCTTTCTCCCTCTCCTCCCTCCCTCCCCCCTTCCTTTCCCTCCCTCCCTCCCCCTTCTTTTCCCTCCCTCCCTCCCCTTCCTTTCCCTCCCTCCCTCCCCTTCCTTTCCCTCCCTCCCTCCCCCTTCCTTTCCCTCCCTCCCTCCCCCTTCCTTTCCCTCCCTCCCTCCCCTTCCTTTCCCTCCCTCCCTCCCCCTTCCTTTCCCTCCCTCCCTCCCTCCCCCCTTCCTTTCCCTCCCTCCCTCCCCCCTTCCCTCCCTCCCTCCCTCCCCCCTTCCTTTCCCTCCCTCCCTCCCCCTTCCTTTCCCTCCCTCCCTCCCCCTTCCTTTCCCTCCCTCCTTCCCTTCCTTTCGCTCCTCCTCCCTCCCTCTTTCCTTTTCTCCCTCCTTCTCTCCTCCCTCCCTCTCTTGATTCTTCCTTTTCTCTTCCTTCTCTCCTCCCTCCCCTTTTCCTTCCTTCCTTCCTTTTTTTATCCTACCTTTTTTCCTTCCTTCCTTCCTCCTCCCTTCATTCCTTCCATTTTTGAAATAGTTTAAGATTTAAAGGAAGTTGCAAAAATAACGCAGGGAGTTTCTCCGTGCCCTTCACTCGGCTTCACCCCCGTGGTAGTATCTCAGGTGACCACAGCACACTGGCAAAATTAGGAGACTGGCCTTGGTACAGTACCGTAGACGATACTGCTCACTTACTTGGGTCTCACCAGGGGCCCTGTGTGGCCGAATCTCTGCTTTCTGTCTTTCCTCCGCCCCCAGACCTGCTGCTCTGTTTGGTGTCGTAGCTAAGCCGTGGTTTGCTCATCTGTGAAGTGGGCTGAGCATCCAGTTGAGGCACTCTGACACTCACCAGGGCTGAGCTTCACACCAGGGAAGCAGGAGTGAGCAAACCCAGCCTCCTGAAGCCCTTGAGGAAACCGGTCTGCTGGGGAAGGCAGGCATGCAAATGATCATTTCCAAGCAGATGACACAGGAAGCCAGTGCTGGAACCACATCCGAGTCCCCTCAATTGCACAGAATGCCACCTTACTATGCAGTGCTGAGGCGAGGGCCGGCTGCCTCCCTCCTCCCCACCCCCAGCTCTCACAAGACTCTCTCCTAGTCCTGGGACCAAATGGCACTGAATTTGGGTGAGGAAAGAGGCCCCCTTTGCCCCCCTTCTGTGCTGGACACCAGTGCTTGCAAACTCACTTTATGCTCCAGCAAGCTTGCAAAAGGTAGCTCTACTCTCCCTTTTATTGAAGAAGAAATGAAGGCAAACAAGCCTGGATTGTTGGTGGAACCTCTCAGCTCTGTGTGTCCTGTGCTGCACACAGTCCCCCTACGGGAGCGCCATGGCTGTTAGTCCTTCAGTACACGGGGTTTTGCTTTTCTGTCATTTCTTGTGAGACCAGAAAGTCAGTTACGGTGGGTGAGCACTCGCCTCTGTCATTGATTTCACAGGCCCTTGAAGTGTGAACATCTTTCAGCCACTAGTTTGCAGGTTTTCTCACCCTCTCCCTTCCCCTCCCCTCCCTTCTCCTCCCCCCTCCTCCCCACCCCACACAGCAAGTGATCTTACAAGGTAGCCTAATGTGGGGGCAGAGCCACAGGCCCTGGGTGTCGGTGAGACGGAGGCACCGACTGAGGGCTGAGGCAGACCCTGGGATCCTAGAACACAGCTCCAGTCCACTGCGCTCCGAAAACGGGGCTCCTGCCCTTCACTCATCCGTATGAGCTCAGACCTCTTGATGAATTAATCTCTGCCACAGCCGTGCTGGGCGATTATTAACACCCGGAGGAGGTTGTGGGGCTCGTTCTGGAAAGAACCCTGGAGTTGGGCCGCGGGCGGACCTGGTGTGACTCCCCGTTGATAAAAGCCATGAGACTTTGGGCTTGACCTTTGAGTTTTGGGCTCCCACCCTGTAAAATGGGGAAAGCCAGGATCTACCTTAAAAGAATCTTACGCACGTGGAACGAACTCACGGTTTTGATATTACTTAAGCCTGGTAGAGCCCAAATGACAGGTGGTCAGTGCACGGAAGCTGTCAGGGGACAGTGGTGGTGACTGCTGTTGCCGGGGCCTGACCCAGCACTGCCTGAGAGACAGAAGCCACCTGCCACCACTCACACCTCAGGTCCCGCGAGGGAATTTTATGCACACCATATTCCCAACACACCCTCCAGAAACAGGTGGTTAGCCGCCCTGTCGTTTTCTTATGGGACTCTAACGGACTGTTAACACTTCATTTTATGTCCGTGGCTCCAGGAGTAAGGAGCCGAATGGAGCTGCAGCGGTTGGATGTAGGGTCCTTAGGGTGGCCTGCCGTGTGCTGAGATCAGCACGGATGGCGGCTTTTCAGCAAAAGAGAATGTGATGATGTGGGGTTTGGGTGGTGACGCGATCTCGGGGGTCGAGGGTGGCTGCTTGGAATGCCGGGCTGACCTCTGACTTTCCTCAGCCCCCGTGTTTCCTGCCCGGGTTCATTTTGATTCAGGGAGCCCCGAGGGTTTGCAGAAGGCTCATCGTACCTGACGTTGCCATGGAAGGGGGCCCTTCTCAAGACACAGGGTGGTCTGTAGACTCAGCTCTCTTCTCTCCCCAGGCTCAACTGCACAAGAGGCCAGAGGTGGACAGTCCCGGCGAGGCCCCCAGCTGGGCACCCCAGCCCAAGACCCCCAAGTCGCCCTTCCAGCCCGGGGCACTGGGCAGTCGTGTGCTGCCTTCCAGCATGGACAAGGACGAGAGGTGAGGGGTCCTGGGGAATGGGGGTCCCCGTCCTCCCAAACTCGGGGTGTACTTCTAGAGAGGTGCTCGCATAGGTTTTAGAGCTGAATAGGGGAGAGTTTCTACTTTTTAATTTTATCTAGCAGCAGAAGCTCTGTTCATGTGAACTCTCAACCCTCCAACACATGAAAAGTACAAAAGTACAACTGAGGGTGGGGAAGGAAACTGGGAGTCAGGCCAGCTGGTCTCCCCTCGTCGCCTGCCCCCTGCCACCTCCTCTACAGAACGCCAGAGGGCCATTGTTGGAGAAGTACTGATCTAATTTAGCCCTCTCCAGACCAGTGGGGAAACTGAGGCATTCTCTCTCCTCTTACCCTCTGGGAGACCTGGGAAGGCGGATCAAAGGGCACAGGCAAGTTGAATGAGATCAGTTTTACTCCCTTCATGGAGCAGCCGTCCCGATCCTGGGCTTGGCCTGCTCTGTGTAGGGACAAGCACAAAGCAGCTTCTGCCCTGCAAGAGGCTCCTAGACGGGGGTGTTTCAGCAGCTGGGGGTGGAGGTTAGGGGCTCTAAGGTCATACAGCCAGGGTTTAACTCCAGCTTTGCAGCTTAAGAGCTACATGACCTGGGGAAAGGCACTTGAGCTCCTGAACCTGTCTCCTCATCTGTAAAATGGGCTTTCTAGCCTCCCAACCTTCCGGGGTGGTCGTGAGGATGAAAAAGAGTATGTCTAAAACCCTTTGCCTGGGCCCTGGCATGGAGAAGTACTCAGTGAAGGAGAGTGGAAATCTGGTCATGAGCACTGGGAACCTGTGACGGGTGGGATTTTTCCTGAAGCTAGAGCTGTAATGATAGTAAGTGCTGGCTGCGTCGGAGCCAGGGTGGGTAAGCTGTGGTCCTCAGGCCAAATCCAGCTCACACCTGTTTTTGTAAGTAAGCTTTACTGAAGCACAGCCACGTGACTCCTTGACATACTGTCTATGACAGCTTTGGTGCTGCCGCTGCAGAGTTCAGAAGTAGCACAGATGGCGCATAGAATCAGAAATGTTTACTCTCTGGCCCTTTCTCTGACCCCTGTGATAGAGAAAGGCAGAGGGAGGGCTGCTAATGCACACTTGAGGATGGCTGGCCAAAAAGACTTCGAGCTGGGTGCAGTGGCTACGTCTGTAATCCCAGCGCTTTGGGAGGCAGAGGTGGGAGGGTCGCTTGAGGCCAGGAGCTGGAGGCTACAGTGAGCTATGATGGCACCATTGCACTCCAGCCTGGACTACAGAATGAGGCCTTGTCCCTATAAAAAAAAAAAAAAAAAAAAGAAAGAAAGAAAAGAAAAAAAAATTAGCTGACCGTGGTGGCACATGCCTGTAGTCCCAGCTACTCCAGAGGCTGAAGTGGGAGGATCCTTCGAGCCAGGAGGTGGAGGCTATGATTATGCCACTGCACTTCAGCCTGGCCCGGGCAGTAAGTCCCTGTATCTCTTAAAAAAAAAAAAAAAAAAAAAAAAAAAAAAAAAAAGCTTCCAAGAGAAGGAGATACTTGAACTAAATCATGGTGGACAGTTGGGTCTTAGCTGGACCAAGGACAGTGAGAGGGGATCCCAGGCTGAAGCCACAGCACATGCAAAGGCCTGGAGGCCACATACACCTGGGAGCCTCAAGCCGTACAAAATACATAGCACAGAGTGGGCTGTGGGAACCAGAAGGGCGAGATGTTGGAGAGAGACGGGGCCACAGTTGAGACCATGCCTCCCTGCTCTGGAAATGCCAGAATTCGGGCTCCAGAGTCAGCTGAGGGCACCAGCATTTCTCCGCAGCCTGAGGAACCCCCAGGGTCTCAGAGGTACCTCCGGAGGCCTGGGCTTGTGTCTCCACTATTATGCAAGGCTTGGCTGAAGTCTGGATACCCTAGGGGGGTATCCAGATGTGCCCAGGGGGTCCTCTTCTTCCTCATTCCTAGGCTGGCAGGCATAGCAGTTCAAGGCCTGCCCCTAGACTCCAGAGTCAACTCATCTCTCATCTCCTCAGCTGAAGACCCCCACCCCACCACCAATCAGGCCAGTATCTTTTCTGGGCCCTCCAGGGCCACGGGTCTCAGGAGCTTTCTCTGAGATCGAAGTCAGTCACGTCCTGTGTGCATGTGTGTTTGATTATAAAAGCAGATCTTCACTGTAGAAAATATAAAAGGAATACAGAGGAGGAAAGCAGAAAAGAAGATCATCCATAATCCTACCCTGCAAAGACTGCTTCTGCTGGTATTATCTCTACTTCATTTTCTTTTTCTTTTTTTTAAACGGAGTCCTGCTCTGTCACCCAGGCTGGAGTCCAGTGGCGCAATCTTGGCTCACTGCAATATCCACCTCCCGGGTTCAAGCAGTTCTTCTGCCTCAGCCTCCCACTACAGGCATGCGCCACCACGCCTGGTTAATTTTTGTATTTTTAGTAGAGATGGGGTTTCACCGTATTGGGGTTTAGTAGAGATGGGGTTTCACCAGGCTGGTCTCGAACTCCTGACCTCACGATCCGCCTGCCTCTGCCTCCCAAAGTGCTGGGATTACAGACGTGAGCCACTGCGCCCGGCCTCTTTTTCTTTTTCACACAGCTGAGATCACGTGTGCCTGGTTTGATGCCCTTGCTACCTGTTCTATATGAATACTTTCCCATGCCCATTTAACAATCTTCATTAACATGATTTTTTTTTCCTTGAATAATGTTTTAAACAATGGTGACTTTACTGTTTTTTGTTTTATTTTTTGTTTTTGAGACAGGGTCAAAAACAAAAAATAAAAAAAACAGTGCAGTGGCCTGATTCTATATTTGTTTTTGAGACAGTACCTCACTCTGTCGCCCAGGCTGGAGTGCAGTGGCACAATTACAGCCTCAACCTTCCCATTCTCACGTGATCCTCCCACCCCAGCCTCCCTGAGTGGCTGGGACCATGGTTGTATACCACCACGCCTGGCTAACTTTAGTATTTTAATGTCGAGATGGGATTTCACCGTGTTACCCCCGCTGGTCTCAAATTCCTGGGCGGTCCTCAGCCTCCCAACACGCTAGGCTTACAGGCGTGAGCTACTGTGTCTGGCCTGACATTATTGTTTTTTATTAAAATGTTGTGTTCTCGTAAGAAATTCTGAGAACACAGAAAAGTGCTAAGAAGAGGGTAAAAACAGAAAACTTAAAAAAAGTACCGTTTAGATGGTGGTTACGGAAATGTATTCACCTTGAGAAAATTCACTGAGCTGTGCGCATTTGGATTTCAGTGTCTTTCTGTGTGCGTTCTTCCATTTAAAAAAGTTTAAACAAATCTCACCTCCCCAAAACAATTCCTGTTGACATTCGATGAACAAAAGGTATCTCTCCGTGTCTTCTGGGCATTGTATTATTCAGAGTTCTCCAGACAAATAGAACCCAGAGGATCTCTGTGTGTGTGTGTGTGTGTGTCTGTGTGTGTGTCTGTGTGCGTGTGTGTGTGTGTCTGTGTGTAAATAATGCAGCTGACCCCTGAACAAGGCAGAGATTAGGCATACTGACCACCTACTGTGTGTGTGTGTGTGTGTGTCTGTGTGTAAATAATGCAGCTGACTCCTGAACAAGGCAGAGATTAGGCGTACTGACCACCTACTTAGTCAAAAAGTTGCATATAGCTTTTGACTTTCCTAAAACTTAACTACTAATGGCCTACAGTTGACCAGAAACCTCACCCATAACCACATATATTTTGTATGTTAGTGTTTTGTGTACAATAAAGTAAGATAGAGAAAAGAAGATGTTATTAAGAAAATGAGAAGGAAGAGAAAATATACTTCCTGTTATTAAGTGGAAGTGGATGATCACAGAGGTCTTCTTCCAGTCATCCTTACTGTTTTCCCACTTGAGTAGGCCGAGGGGGAGGCAGAAGAGGGGGGATTGGTCTTACTGCCTCAGGGATGGCAGAGGCAGAAGAAAACCCAAGTGGACCCACGTAGTTCAAACTGTGTCGCTCAAGGGTGAGCTGTATGTACACGTGCATACGTGTGTATGCGTGTGTGGATGCATGTGTGTATGTATAGGGATCGATTTTAAGAAATTGGCTCTCATGATTGTGGAGGCAGGCAAGTCCAAAATCTGCAGAGCAGGCCAGAAGGCTGGGGAGGCAGGCAGGTCACAGTTCAAGTCCAGACGGCGTCCCGCTGCTTCCTGGGAGGTCAGACTCTTTCTCTTCAGGCCTTCAAGTGAGCAGATGAGGCCCATTCATATCACGGAGGGTGGTGTCCTCTCCTCAGCGCCTACTGATGTTAACCTCATCTAAGAAAAAATATCTAGAATAATGTCTGACTAAATATCTGGGTACACGTCAGGTTTAAGTTGATGCGTAAAACTAACCATCGCAGACACTTCTGGATAGAGAGATGGAAGGCTGGGATAGCGATTTGCAGTGACAAATGGATGGATGGAAATAATTTTATATAAGATGAATTTTGTTTGTTTGTTTTCTTTTTGTGGAGAATGGGGTCTCACTGTGTTGCCCAGGCTGGTCTCAAACTCCTGGGCTCAAGCTGTCCTCCTGCCTTTGCCTCCCTCCAGTGTTGGAGTTACGGGAATGAGCCACTGTACCCAACCAAGATAAATTTTTATAGCTGTATGTAGAAGATCTCGTAGAACGGTTATACTGTGATTTATTTCAGTGGTCCCCAGCCCTTGGCACCAGGGACCAGTTTTGTGGAAGACAGTTTTTCCACAGACCAGGGGTATGGGGGGTGGTTTTGTGATGATTCAAACACATTACATGTGTCGTGTACTTTGTTTATATTGTTATTACTTTGTAATTAGAATGAAATAATTGTATGGCTCACAGTAACGTAGAATCAGTGGGAGCCCTGAGCTTGTTTTCCTGCATCTAGACAGTTGCAGCTGGTAGTGATGGGAGACAGGGACAGATCATCAGGCGTTAAGAGTCTCATAACGAGCTGCAACCTAGATCTCGAATATGCAGGGTTCACAGTAGGGCTCCGGCTCCCTATGAGAGTCTAATGCCCCCGCTGATCTGACAGGAGGCGGAGCTCCGGTGGTGATGTGAGTGATGGGAGGGGCTGTAAATGCCGATGGAGCTTTACTCACCCACCGCTGACCTCCTGCTGTGCAGGCCGGTTCCTCACGGGCCATGGACCCCTATCAGTCTGTGGCTCAGGGAGTTGGGGACTCTCGATTTATTTAACATTTCCCATTGTTGGACACTGTGGTGAATTCCTACCTCTTGCTTATCAGTCATGTTAATATGGGCGTCTCTGCCACCTGAGTGCTCAGCGCAGCCCTGCCTGGGCCCAGGGATAGAGTCAGGTACCGCTCAGTCCTGCCTGCAAGGAGCTCACAGTGTGGTTCCAACTAGTCTCTCACTGGCTTTGTGGTTTCAGGTCGGATGAACCCTCTCCCCAGTGGCTAAAGGAACTGAAATCCAAGAAGAGGCAAAGCCTTTATGAGAACCAAGTTTGACCAGGTATGAAGAGGCTCTGCTGGGGAACCTGGGAATGGGGAACTCAGTTGCAGGGGCCAGCCCTCAGAGTCTGGGGCTGCTGTGCCCAAGGAAAGAGGCTATGCAAGGGGAAAAGCCAGGGGTAGGGGGTATTCTGAGTTCCTGTAAAGAGGTTGGTGATGTCTGTTTCCATTTAGGGAGACAGCAAAGCTGGGGTAGCTGGAGTGGGTGAAAGGCAGCAGGCAGGAGGCAGGTGACCAGGGTTCCGGGCCCATGCACTTGGCTGGCCCTTCTAGCTCTATCACAATTCCCTGTGATAAAACAAAAGGGCGGGACATCGGAGGTTACCGTAATCGGAAATGGTTACACTTTTTTTTTTTTTTTTTTAGACAGAGTTTCACTCTTGTTGCCCAGGTTAGAGTGCAGTGGCATCGTGATCTTGGCTCACTGCAGCCTCCACTTCCTGGGTTCAAGTGATTCTCCTGCTTCAGCCTCCCAAATACCTGAAATTAACAGATGCCTGCCACCACGCCCAGCTAATTTTTTTATGTTTTGTAGAGACGGAGTTTATGTTGAACAAGCTAGTCTCAAACTCCTGACCTCAGGTGATCCACCCATCTCAGCCTCCCAAAGTACTGGGATTATAGGCATGAGCCACTGTGCCTGGCCAGAAATGGTTGCTTTTTTTTTTTTTTTTGAGACGGAAGCCCACTCTGTCACCCAGGGTGGAGTGCAGTGGCAAAATCTCGGCTCACTGCAACCTCTGCCTCCCGGGTTCAAGCAGTTCTCTGCCTCAGCCTCCCGAATAGCTGGGATTACAGGCACCTGCCACCATGTCTGGCTAATTTTTTTTTTTTTTTTTTTTTTAGTAGATACAGGGTTTTACCATCTTGGCCAGGCTAGTCTTGAACGCCTAACCTCGTGATCCACCCGCTTCAGCTTCCCAAAGTGCGGGGATTACAGGTGTGAGCCACCACCACACCCAGCCAGAAATTGTTACAATTTTTATGAGGGGAATGTTTCATGTACAACCTATGTAGTTAAAAATTACTTTGAAAAAATAAACATTAAAAAATTAACGATTAGCTAGGCCCTGGTGTAAATGACAAATGACCAAACATCATGAACTTCAGTTTCCTCATCTGTAAAATGGGTTAGCAGTGTCCACATCGCTGAGCTGCCCTCAGACCTCACTGAGAATGCACCCGCGGTGCCTGACTGAGCACTGCCCGTTTCCCCTCAGTATGGAGCTCGTGGTATTTGTACCGTCAAAGTCAGCATTGGTGTGATGAGCACAAGAGACTCACCATCCCTTTCCACAAACCTGAATTCCAGAGAGCTCCGCAAACAAAGCTTTTCCTAACTCAGTGGTAAAACCTGGCCTGAGTGCACATAATTCTCCTTGGACTCTGTTTTCTCCACTTGATATGAATGTTCGTAATACAGTTAAGGCTTATTATCTGCTTGATGATGGCAGTGTTACATATGTATATATATATTTGCAAACGCTGTATATATATATATACATCCAAGTATGTATGTTACAGGATTATTTCTGTATGTATGATGCACATATATATGTGTATAATAAACTCTAAAAATTATACAGTCCCAAATAAAACTATGCTCAAGGGATTTGGATAAGGGATTGGGACCTGTGTTTATTTTGTGTTTGGTGCAGTACATGTAGTATCTCATTTAAGCCTCCAGCAACCCATTTGAGGAAACTGAGGCCCAGAATTGAGAGTGGAACCCTGACCTGACCCTCAATTTCATGTTGATTTCACTGTATTCCATGCCTGCCACCCTCCTCAACTTCCCTTTCTACCCCCCGACACACAAAATACCTTTTCTGACCTTAGGCTTCTAGGGGTAACTTTATTGGAGAATATCCGGCAAGGTTTTCAGGCCTGATGGTAGAGAGAAATGGAGCCAAATATTCCCACCGCTGACACCAGGACTGTCCCTTACTCTCCAGCCAGGGAACACCACATCTACTTAACAGAAGCCTTAACCGTCAGAACCCGCAGACAAGGCCAAGCTGCTGCCGTTTCTTCCTGCACAATGTTTAAAACGTGCCTGGGCCCTTCCCGTTGGATTGAGAACGCTGTCCAGTGACGCTGTCCTCGCCAGGCTCTCCCTGGATCCAGAAGGGAAGACCCAACCTCCGGGAGCACTCGCTCATCTCCCCAGACAGCACTTCAGGATGGGAAAGGAGCCAGGCTGCCCAGAAATGTCCATGTGGGTGGTTTTGCTTTTTACATAAAAATCTGCATTTCTACCTACTTTAGACATCTTTAACAGCTCCAAGAGCGTCAGCATGAGGCTGGGATGTCTCCTCAGATTCTGAAAAACACCTGATTTTGTGAAAGCGCCTCCTCACCTGACCCCAGGGCAGGCCTTTTTTTTTGGAAGGACATTTCCAAGGAAGATCAAACTGTTCATTTCCAGCTGTAGTCTTGGTGCAAGGCATTACCACTGGGTTGAGGGTTTTTTTTTTTTTTTTTTTTTTTTTTTGGTGAGTTCCTTCTTCCCCTCGAGGAATCGGCAGTTCCAGTTTTTAAATGTACTCTCCCTGATCCTTTGAAGCGTATTTCTCTTTCCAGTTGGGGCTGTGTAATTGTCATTTTTGTTTGCTTTAGAAGGTGATAAAGCAATAATTCAGCCAATTTTCTTTGAAACTTGATACGTATATGTGTGTTTACATTAAAGGACGGGAGGACAGATGTGTGAGTAATTGGTTCTGAAGTATCCAGTCACCTCAGGTTACCTCATCACTATCCAAGCTGTTTAGAAGTTGTAATTGTCACTATTGTGTATATTTCCCTGGCTTATTTTCATTTGAGCTCTGGTTTCTGTAGGATGACCTTTGTCGCTTGACCCTAAGGGTTCATAAACTGCAGCCCACGTGGTGGTACCTTTGTCATTGAATCATCAGACCTGCCCTAAGAATCTTTTTCTCCAGAGTCTTCTTCGAACGTGACCTGGGCTGCTGGCATGGAGTAGCTGTTCCGAACTGGCCTCAGAACAAATGTAGGAATGAAGGGTACTTCTTGCTTTTACTCACGTCTTTTTCCCACGTCTAACTCCACCTGACCAAGTGCAGGTCTTGGTGAAAGCCCTTCTCTGGAGGGGAGCTCCGCAGCCAAAGACTCTGGACAGAAGTGCTGGGTGCTAGGTGACCAAGCGTGGCCCCCTTTTTTCTTGCTAGCTATCAGCTGATTCTGGGGAATCCTTAAGACCTCTGAGGGCTCCAGACACTCTCTACCTTGTCTTTGTTTTGGAAATGCCCAACACCAGCCTCTTCCACTCTAAGTCCTAAGGCTGTAGCAGACACCCTAGATGTGCTTGGCTGGCTGCCTGCCATGCCTGGAGTTGCCATAGTCTGTGTGCCAACCTTGCCTGGGAGATACCCATCATGAGGTGCTTGGGCAGTTCATAGAGAGCCTGTGACGTGGGGTGTAGTTTCCTAATGGATCCATGCACAGCGCTGGCTAGATAGGGAAGTGGAAGGCATGTGTGCCCTCCACTCCCTCCCAACAGTTTCCCAAGAGGTCAGTCTTTCTCGATAAATCCATTCATTGCAAATGGCTGTCAAAACATGCTTCCCTTCTCCCTGGCTAGTTCTCAAGAGTTCATTTGTCTCTCCATCTCAGCTTCCTCTCTCATCTCTCTTTACCCCTCTTCTGTCGCTTAGTGGATGGATGGGCGTGGATAGAAATCCCGTTTCTCTAGGTTAAGACAAACACCTGGGCCCTGGTGAGGGGGTTGCTGTTCAGCACCAGGGACAGCAACCGCAGGGCTGTGAGGTGGGAGCCCACCATGTGTCCTGTTCCATGAGTTTTGGCTACTGATGAGCAATTGGTAGACCATGTCACCGCCCCCCCCCTAGCCTTTTACATGTGGGAGCCTCATGCATCTGGGTTTGTGAGTTTGGCCCTGCTCAATGATTGATTGTTTTCTCTTAATTCCTGTAACTGCTTCAGTTGATTTCTTTTTTAAAGATCGAGTTTATGTTTTATAATAATTTTGATGTTATGGCTTTCCAAGTCAATGGGATCCCCTTTAAAATACACTCCTGGTGTTTTGTTTTGTTTTTCGAGACAAGATCTTGCTCTGTTGCTCATGCTGGAGTGGAGTGGCACGATCATAGCTCGCTGCACCCTCTAACACCTGGGCTTAAGTGATTCTCCCGCCTCAGCCTCCCAAGTAGCTGGGACTACAGGTGTATGCTACCACAACCAGCTAATTTTTAAAAAGTTTATAGAGATGAGGGTCTCACCCTGTTGCCCAGGCTGGTCCCGAACTTCTGGGCTCAAGCAGTACTTCCCCTCAGCCTCCCAAAATGCTGGGATTACAGACGTGAGCCACCGCACCTGGCCTAAAACATACTCCTCGCCTGTTGTTCCTGACTTCTTATCTTGGCTGCTGTCTGTCTTTCCTTCAGGTGGAAAGGACCCTCGGTACCATCTCAAGCAGTAGGAAAGGACTTGCTCTTACATATATCGATGCTCACCATGCAAAACTCTCAGTTCTTCATTAGTCATGTCTCAGCTCAATATCAGATATATCTCAGCAACAAGGATATCAATTGCTCAAGGAATGAAACACACTTGAAAATGAGATTGGCCTGGAAATTTTTTCCCCTTAATCTCTCATACCTTAATTGAGAAAAAAATCTATTTAATTCTATTTTAATTAGGACACACAGAGTTGACCTTCCTTGAAAGTGACTAGGGCAAGCCCTGAAGATCTTCCTCACCTCCTTTTACTTTTCTATAACCTTGTCTCTTCCAGCACCACAGGGCAGACAATCACAGTGGGTCAAGGGCGACCCTCTTTCATGCAGACTCCGCCATGACCTGCTTATGATCCATGCAGTGAAGTTAGAAGTAACTGATAGCCTTTGCAGATAGCTGGGCAAATGGGTGATTTACTTCTCCTCATTCTAAATGAAGGGAGCTCTCTTTGAGGCTAAGCAAGGGAGCGTTGTACGCTAGTTTCTAGACTTTGCCTGGAGCCCCCTTTGGAAATCTGTCTTCTTTTTAAACTCAATATGCCTTAATCATCTCTGTGCAACCGGGTCATCCAACCTTCCTCCCCTGGGGCCTTGGCTGTCCTCAGTGAGCGTCTCAGGCAGAATGGAAAGTCCTCTATATGTATAATCTTTTCCTGCCTGGTTTCTCTTCCTCCTCACCTCCCTTTGCACATCAGCATTTTGACAGCTGGTCTTTTGAGACGCCTGTATCTTTTTTCCTCTCCAGTAGATACACCTTCTTTTCATGGTCCTTTGCCCAATGAAACAGAGGCCTTTGGCCTTTGAAAATCCATGACAATGCCTCAGAAATCAGTGTTCTGGAGGATCGCTCCCTGCCACCAGAGAAACTCTGGTGAAAGAGAAATCTTATGGTGTTTAGGATGTTGGATTTTGAAGTGAACCTGACCTGATAGCCTCAGGTTGTGGAGGATTCAGGGAAAGGACAATCAGACCATGGTGTTTTCCAGGGGGACACACCAAATCACGTGGTTTCAGACAATGGTGTTTTCCTTTGTGCCTCCCTAGAGGGGAGGGCCACCTTAAGGGCATCGCTAAGAAGCCAGAACAGAAAGGCTGGGCAAGGGATTTGGAAAAACCCTTAGCGTGATTTTCCTGAGAGAGTCCTCAGCTGCTCTGACCTGGTGCCGATAGCTGCTTTGTCGATCTGTGCTTTCAAATTTTCTTTACAATATGCCCCCAGATGGCTTCTGGAACTAGTCACAATTGCAAACTGTAAAAATCCCTCCTCCCCAGTTTAGATTCTGAAAGCAGAGTAAGTGATAGGAAGACATTCTGTGTTCTCTGTGCCTTCCCCCTCACCATGTGTCAAAACCCAAAAGCTGAGGACCCACAGCATCATGATTCCGTGGGGCTGGGGGAGGGGACCTACCCCACTTCTAGAGGGGGACCTGCTTTGGGCTCAGTCCCCTTAGCGACTGGGGGACCCTTGCTCTCTGCTGAGAAGCTGCCAGGGCTCACCCAGTTGGAATTCCAGGCCGGCCAAGGCTCGGGAAGCCTAGAGCCTCGTAAAAAGCCGGTAGGCGTGAATGTGCCGGGTCTTTGTGAGCCTTCCTCTCCTTTTGCACCCCCCAATCCAGAGGGTTTTTTTTTTTTTTCCTTTTGTCTGAATTGGCTCCTGCAGGGGGAAGGCCAGAAAGCTAGGCCCTCTGCTCTGGAAAGTCGGCCCGAGGTTTCTGGCAAGTTAACGCTTCGAATCGACACCTCTCAGCCCTCCCTCCCCTTTGGCCTTCCCAGAACCTCCTTCAATAGTTGCTCTGGCACCCGTGCCGGGACATCTTCCTCCATGACTTGGACTGGTACTTCCTTGACAATCCCTGTTGGCATCAGACCGACTAAAAATGATGCTGTTTTCTAAAGAATTTGAACTTTTTTTTTTTTTTTCCTGAGACCAGGTCTCGCTCTGTTGCCCAGGCTGGAATGCAGTGGCACCATCACAGCTCACTGCAGCCCCCAACTGCTGGGCTCAAGCGATCCTCCCACCTCCACCTCCTGAGTAGCCTACATGACAGGCACACGCCCCCATGCCCGGCTGATTTTTTAAATCTGTTTTTTGTAGAAACAGGATCTTGCTATATTGCCCAAGCTGGTCTCAAACTCCCAGGTCTCAAGCGATCCTCCCACCTCAGCCTCCCAAAGTGCTGGGATTACAGGCATGAGCCACAACGCCCAGCTGGATTTGAGATTTTTAATAATCTCATTCCACATAGCCTTACAGATCCTGTAAATAGGGGGTCACAAAAGTAATATATTGTGTTATGGAAGATATTTTGTACTGTGCTGTTCCTAAATCATACCAATATCCTAAAGTCACACACTTCCCAGATGATTGTGATCATCAAAATGCTTTGTTAAGATGGGGCAGGACGTGGAAACACACACACACATGTGCACACACACACAGACGTACACACACACACACACAGACACACACACACGTATAGTATATATTTTCCTAATCTCTCTTCTGGGTCCTTCCTCAGATATTTGAGTCATAGTAGAGACGGAAATCGAGTTCCTTGTGTAGGAAAGTTAAGCTTCCTGCCTGTCGGTGTTCTTGCAATTGCCTTATGAATTCACAAGCTCCAGGAGTTCTGAATGGAAGGCAGACGAGAGGCACTTTATCCAATCCCAGAAAGAATCTCTAACCGTGCAACTGAGCATTCATCTAGAAAAACTTATATTTTTAATGTAAAAAAAAAATGGGGCACCCCGGACCTCACAGAGTATCGGACGTCTACAAGTGCTTTTATATTTTGTAAGTGTAAAGAGGTTTCATAGGCACAGAAGAGCAGTTGGAAATCTGGTCGACTGCAATAAAACAAGGTGACCTTTTGCATGTACAAAGATGTTGCATTCAGACTATGAAAACAGCAAATAAAGCTTTGATGCAAGTTGCATTGGAGAAGTCAATGCAGTCCGTGTGTGAGTGAATGGAGTCTCCCAGGCATGGAGGCCCTGACTGGGGCCGGCTGAGTCAGTCCTCGATGCTGAGCTGTGGACCGGCCAGCAAGAGGGATAGCTGGGGTCCTGGGAGGGGGTGTCCATGCAGAATGGAGGCCATGGAAACAAGGCAGGATTTCCATTCAGACTGACGGGGGTCCAGTCCTCGTTCTGCCACCTCCTGGCTGGCGGCTTCCCTTTAAGCACTGGTTCTCCTTAGCTGTACAGTGGAAGTGGTGATCGGGACATTCGCAGGTAGGCGTTGAAGGTGGTGTTCTCAGCTGGGTGGATGGTGTCCTCCAGAGCACAGTCTGGCAATGACGGGAGGCATTTTTGGTTATCACAAGGAGGAGAGAAGATGCTCCGGGAAGGGAGTAGAGGCCAGGGAGGCCGCACATCCCACAATGCACAGGACAGCTCCCACCTGCGACCCCACCACAAAGAGTGACCCGACCCCAAATGGCAGTAGTGTCAAGGTTGAAAAGCCTGGATTGAGGAGATGGAGCACATCCAAGTGCTGCACACGCAATAGGTCCGCAGGATCCTGAAAGATGTGACGGGAGGGGGAGCCACGCCAGCCTCCTGCTATCCCAGCTGGCGGCAACTACATCCCAAAAGAGGGAGTCCACACCAACTCCGTTTTCTATGATCTCCAGCAGGAAGTAGCCCCTTGGCTTGACTTGTCCAGAGTAGGCGGGATGCTGGGAATAAAAGTCAGAAAATAACAGGTACTGTGCACAGTGCTTTGCTTACATGACCTCCCAAAATGGCTCACATAGAAGGTTCTCCTGAGCCCTTCGGGAACGCCCCCAAGGTCACACAGATGTGCCAGACTCAGAGTCCAGCATCTCACCACCCTCTGCCTCTAGCCTTGTAAACTCACTCCTTTGCTCCATAATCATTTTCTTCATACAATAATCTTTATCAGATATTGATCACAGGCAAAATTATACTGTTAGACACTTAAAAAAATTCCCAGAAGCTGGATGCAGGTGCCTATAGTTCTGGTTACTCAGGACACTGAGGAGAGAGAGGATCGCTCGAGCCCAGGAGTTTTGAGTCCAGCCTGGGCAATATAGCAAGATCCTGCCTCTAAGTTAAAAAAAAAAAAATTAAAAATGCCTGGATCTACGTTTTTCTTTGGTCATAAATAAGTTGACTGTGATGATCACTTTTATTTCTGTCAAGGGTGAGATCCCAGGCCTTGGGGCAGGCCAGCCCCTTTCTCTCTGCTGGGTGATTCTGAGTAAATGAGTTTCACTTCTCTGGACTCAGTTTCTCCGTGTGTAAAATGGGTGAGGATTCCACACAATGCTTATGAGGCTGGCACAGTGCTGTGCGTGTAGTAGGTGTTCAATAAATGGTAGCTATTATTCGTGCATGCCTTCTACCTGAGGAAAGTCCGTCTGCGTCGGTTCTGTGACGGCATCCTATGGAAACGGTTGGGTGGATTTGCACCCAAGCTGGAGGGTATGGTCAAGGTGATCTGACTTACAATTAGGCCACGCGGTATGTGGAAAATGGAGAGTCCGGGGTCCTTCACTTTAAGAACTAGAATCTTTCCGAAGGTTTCATGTACCCCAATAGGAAATGGTGAACCCGAGAAACCACAGAAAGGGAGTTGGTGGTTGTGAGGAGACAGTGGAGAGCTTCCCACCCTGCTGGCCCTCGTCCGGCACTGCTGGGCTTCCCGCAAAGCCAGTGAGGTCCCTCTGCCCCCAGGAAGTCATCAGAGGCTGTGGCTGAGGAGACAGGTTCTGGGGGCCTCCGTGGACCCGCTATTGGAGTGAAATGGCCTGGATGGAATTGGGCGGACAGGGTGCTGCCTCAGCAGGCTGGGATGTGCTGGGCTGTCAGAACGTGCCCATAAATAGCATGCTCCTTGCGAAGGCGGGCCGAGTCTGCAGACGGCCGTGGCTTCTCTGTTCTTCCTGAGGCTACAGCAACAGGTTCATTCTGGGATGGGTTGGGGGTGGAGAGGCAAAAGCCACCCTGGCAGGCCTGGACCTTTGCTGGTCTCTGTGGAACACGCATGGCTGACCGCCTGCAAAAAACCCAGGGACTCCCTTAAGGTTCAGGTCCCAGTGAGAGGACCCAGCCAGCCCAGGTGGGGGTGAAACAGGGGGCCCTTGTCTGCGGTGGCCAGAGTCCACATCCCTGGATGTGTGCTTGGGGCAGGGGACCTTCAAAAACTGAGTCCCTCTGAGGGAGGGGGGTGGGCACACACATGTCCGCAAGTCCCCCAAAAGTCCTCCATGAGCTGGACCAAGCCCTGTTTGCTGATGAGGCTGGGACAGACAGAACAAGGCAGCCTGCAGGCTGTGCCTGGTTGGGCCCGCGTCCAGAGTATGTGGGCTGTGCAGCTGTGCGTGCTGGAGTGGCTGTGCTGGGAGCCATGGGGGGGAGGTAACAGCTGGGGGTGGGTGTGTAGAGGTAGGCGCCTTGCCCATCTGCCCCCAGGAAGTCAGAGGCTGTGGCTGAGGAGACAGCCACTGTGGATGTCTGAAATGAGCAGGTGTGCGTGCGTGTGTGCGTGCGTGTGCTTGTGTGTGTGTGTGTGTCAGAGACAGAGAGAAGCTGTCCTGTGAGCCCCCGGGTGGGATATGATGGACCATGACCATAGAAACTTTTGTGTGTGCACACAAAAACAGAACAGTCCTGCGTGTGTCCACGTGTGCAGCAATGATGAGAATTCTTCCGTGTGACTGTGGCAGGGGCCTGTACGGCATGTCACTGTCCCTGTAGCAGGAAGGGGAAGTGTTGGTGTCTGGGTCTTGAAGCGGCTGGTGTACAGTTGTGTTCGATAAATGCTTAAGGAATGAGTAACTGAATGCAGGGAAACTGACCAGGAGCAGGTGTCCAAGGACCTGGTCTTACAAGGGCTTTCTCTAGAGGTCTGTCTGTCCACCTCCTGACATTTGGGGTCTCCTGTCCATCCTGGTCACCCAGCCCAGATCCTGGCACTGTGTGGGTGCTCATGGAATCTTCAGTGAACAAAGGAACCAGCGAACGAGAGTTCCTGGAGTATGGAGGTGGGAGAGACCCGATAGAGAAAACGCCCTGAAGCCCACCCTTTAGCCAGGGTCTGGGGGTGGTACATCTGCAGAGACCTCTGAGGGACCTGGGTTTGGGGGAGCATTTGCATCAGGGGAAAAGGGCACCGGTCTTTGGAGCCAGGCCCGACCCAGGCCGCTTCCTTACTGTATGCCTGAGGAAGCGGCCTTGCTTTGCTGAGCCTTAGTTTCCCTCTGTCCAAGTAGGGCCCCTGACCCCACTGTCTCAGTCCACAAGGCCCATGGCAGGCACTCAGTGGATGTTTGCTGAATGACCGAATGACCGAATCTCGATCATAAGTAATGACTGTGTCCCATGGGCAGCAAGGTTCTGTAGCTCATCCTGGACTCCGGTCACATCAACACCTGGCTTCTCCCAGTGGATCCAGTGACCCATTTCCCTCTGGTCCGAAGCTGGAGGTGTTCCTGGGGAGATGGCAGGACAGCATGGAGTACCTGAGCAGGCTGCAGCTGGCAGGAGCCATGGAGGCCTTGGAGGCAGCTACAAGGTACTGGGCAGGGCGGGGGTCAGAGGGCTCCAGGCCCAGGGCTGCTCCTGGGTCTCAAGGGCATCTTCGCAGCCAAGCAGCACCTCTGCAGAAAGGAAGAGCCATCCTTCCAACCCCCCAGGCCAAGACGAAAACGCTCCGGGTGGGTCCTCTCACTGTCACCCTCCCGTTAGAAACTTGCTTCATGAGCTCGCTGCATCTTCCCTCGCCTGCAAAACGGAAATGGTCACCCACATCCTCCCTGCGTCAATGGATCAGAGGGGCCCGGGACTTTCCGGAAGCATGGTTCGAGCTCTGACTCTCCTGTCTGACCTCAGCCTGGTGTCTTGCCCTCTCAGGGCCTCAACAACCCCGTCTTTGAAATGGGGATGGTGCCCAGACTTCATGTCTAGAGTTGGTGTAAAGGCTAAAAGGCATGAGTGAAGTCAAGTTCGCAGAGGGAGGCACACTGGAAATCTGAGAGAAGGTTTGAATGTGTTGGCTGTGCCCTTGCCAGACCATCTCTGCGATGTTTTTGGGAAATGACTGGAGACAGAGTCTAAGGATGGGTTGAATCCCAGTGCCTCCTCTTAACAAGCTGTGTAGACCCAGGCCAGTAGCTTACCCTTTCTGAGCTGCTTTCATCCCCTCTGTAAAACGACAGGGGATCTTCTACAAAGTCAGTGTGTGTTTCCAGGTGGGCGAGAGAGGTAAAACCTTGGTCTGTCGTTGGAGCCCCTCTTTTCCTAGGCTTGACAGAGGCACCGTTTTCTCAGAGATTCATTTATCCTGCACTGAGATAAATGCATTTGAAGGGGGAAATTTCACATTAAGGAAAATGCAGATTTCTGACCTCTCTCGAAAAAATGGGCACTGGGACGTCATTCCCTCATTGCCAGAAGCAGCTTCATTTCCCCACGGTCGTCTCTTGGGTTATTTGAGTCCTCTGGGCTCGCCGCCTGTCTCCTGCGGGACAGGAGAGTTGCAACCCCCTCGTTTAATTGGTCTCTGAAGTTCCTGAAGGCATTTCCCCCCACGGCCATGAGAGGGCAGTGCAGGCACGCCTTGGTGCCGGCTCCAGGCTGGAGCGAGGCCGAGCCGATAAAGCAGGTGGTATTGGCCGGGCGCGGTGGCTCAAGTCTGTCATCCCAGCACTTTGGGAGGCCGAGGCGGGTGGATTACGAGGTCGAGAGATCGAGACCATCCTGGTCAACATGGTGAAACCCCGTCTCTACTAAAGGTGCAAAAAATTAGCTGGGCATGGTGGCGCGTGCCTGTAATCCCAGCTACTCCGGAGGCTGAGGCAGGAGAATTGCCTGAACCCAGGAGGAGGAGGTTGGGGTGAGCCGAGATCGCGCCATTGCACTCCAGCCTGGGTAACAAGAGCGAAACTCCGTCTCAAAAAAAAAAAAAAAAAGCAGGTGGTATTTCCCTCTGATGATGCCCCAGGGAGGGGCAGAAGCTGGAGCCCGGAGCCCAGCAGGGGTGGGATGGTTAGGACGCTGCTCTTCCAGGTGATCGTGTACGAACTAGAGAACTTCCAAGGGAAACGCTGCGAGCTCTCAGCCGAGTGCCCCAACCTGACTGACAGCCTGCTGGAGAAGGTCAGCTCCATCCAAGTGGAGTCCGGGCCGTGAGTACCTAGACCCCCCCAGGCCCTCGACACAACCCTGAGCCTTCTAGGGGTGTCATGCGCGAGTCTGAGCTCTAGATCCGTTGTCGGGCTTTTGACAACTCCCCTGCCTTCTCTCTCGGGCCTCATTTTCCCCATCTGTAAAATGAGAGTTGAAGAATTCTCTGGCATATTAGATTTCTGGAGAGAATCCCAGGATAGCTGAGACTGGCTGAAGAACAGCAAGGACAACCTAGCACCTGGCTCAGTGACTGGAACCTGGGATTCAATATTTATAATTTTAATAATGATTGTAACGCCTAAAATTTAACGTGCGTTATGTCGTTGAATCCTCATGACCCTGTGAGAGCGGTGTCATTCTTATTCCCACTTTACAGATGGGGAAACTGAGGCCAGAGTAGTTAAGTGTCCCATCTATGCCCATAAGGCAGGCAGGTGTCCCAGCTGGGCCTTGAATTCCCATCTTTCAGTTGCACGTCCAGGCTGTGGCACTAACCATGTGGGGGATCTTTGGCAAGTTGCTTCACACACCAGGCCTCTGTTTTCTCAGCTGTCAAATGGGGATGACAATGGTACATACTTCAGAGAAAGTTTGCATGAAAACGAATGGAACGATGCAATAAATACATATTAATAACAATATAATACCAAGAAGAAGAAAAGGGGGAGGAAGAGGTTGCTGTCACCTATGGACTACTTAAACTGTGTGCCAGGCATTTTGCTAAAGGCTTTTCTGAGTACCTTGCAGAGGCTGGATTCTTGATAACATTTCCTAGGATGGCCTTCCGGCCCAGAGTCTTAGACAGTTCCCGGTATGCCCTAGCAGCTCCTTTAATTACAGGTCCAGGAATTAGCAGTAGGGTTGGAGGGAGGGTACGAGGTTCAAGGTCAGCACGTCTTGGACCCTTCCCTCACTAAACGTGAATCCTCCTTCAGCTGCAGCAACAGTGACGCAGCCAGGACTCTTCCTCCCGCAGGTGGCTGGCATTTGAGAGCAGGGCCTTCCGTGGGGAGCAGTTTGTCCTGGAGAAGGGGGATTACCCTCGCTGGGATGCCTGGTCCAACAGCCGTAATAGTGACAGCCTCCTGTCCCTCCGGCCTCTGAACATTGTGAGTATGGCTCCTGCCCACTTCTGGGAGTTCTTGGAAGCAGGTTGCACCCCGACCTGGTCAGGCAAGCTCATTGCACAAGCTGGACTGAGGGCTTGGCCCTTAGGGACCCGGCCTGGGAAGCGCCCTCATATTTCTGATCGGAACAGCTTTGTGAGGTAAGAAGTGGGATATTGAATGTACATTGGCTTGGGGCTTGAGACACCAGGACTCACATCTTGAATAAAACCAGCATAGCACTGGGACTTTTCTTTGTAACCCTACTAAAATGATGAGCCACATGGTCCATTCTCAAATCAGTATTGTTATCAAAGGGATGCTGTCCAGGAAATAACTTCAGAAAGTAACTTCGAAATACAAGTTTTCCACTTGTGTTTCTCTAGCACCTGAAAGGGACACAGTTCATGCACAGTGACACTTTATTTATTTATTTTTGAGACAGACTCCTGCTTTGTCGCCCAGGTGACACTCTCTCTCTCTTTTGAAACATTTTTATTTCATTTTGAGATGCTGTCTCGCTCTGTCACCCAGGCTGGAGTGCAGTGGCGCAATCTCTGCTCACTGCAACCTCTGCCTTCTGGGTTCAAGCAATTCTCCTGCCTCAGCCTCTTGAGTAGCTGGGACTACAGGCACATGCCACCTCGCTGGGCTAATTTTTGTATTTTTGGTAGAGACGGCATTTCGCCATGTTGGCCAAGCTGGTCTTGAACTCCTGGACTCAAGTGATCTGCCCACCTTGGCCTCCCAAAGAACAGGGATTACAGGCGTGAGCCACCACACCTGGCCCACAGCAACACTTTAAACACCACCCTTCTTCCTCCCTTGCTTCGCCCACACGCAGGAGCTGCTCCAGCCCTTTCTCCCTGTCCCATAACTGAGTCCTCCTTAGAGGGCCGTGGAAGTGGGGAAACTGAGAAGATTGAACTGGCCTCTGGTTAGGACAGAGGGAGAGCTCATGTGTGCTTACATTTGATCTCCATCCATTCTCTCCAGGCCTGTTTCTCTGTCATTTAAATGAAGGGAATGAACAAGATCTGAAAATTCCTTTTCAGTTTCATATTCTATGGCTCTAGGTTCCTAAATCAACCAGCTCTGGAGGAATCTCCCCGTCCCTCCTACAGTGAATTTGGGGGTGGATCCATCTCCTGAGTCCCTTCCCTCCTGCAGCGAGTCTCGGGGTGGGTGTTACTTTGGGGTGACTTACTGATTCTTTCTGGCATCTGGAGCCTTCTTGACCTCTGTTCTGGGTATGGGAGCAGACGCTCACCCCACAATATTGCCCTCAGGATAGCGCGGATCACAAGCTGCATCTGTTTGAGAACCCAGCTTTCAGTGGCCGCAAGATGGAGATAGTGGACGATGACGTGCCCAGCCTGTGGGCTCATGGCTTCCAGGACCGTGTGGCGAGTGTCCGCGCCATCAATGGGACGTAAGGGACCCACCCCTCACCTTTGCCCCGTCTTCTGCTCAGCCATGCCTGTGGCTCCAAACAGAATCAGTGCCCATAGTTTCTTACATGATTGATGGTCCCTATGCTCCTGTACTGTTGAGGTTTCTAGGCCGCCTTGACTTAAATCAGGTGAAACTGTTCTCTCCACCTGTTCCCATTTGAGTCCTTCCCCTTTTTTTAAACATCCCTTTGAATTATTCTTGAAATGTGCTTTCCCCTCACAACTCTTGTTCTTTTTACCAAGGGGCCCCGGGTGGATGCAGCTATTGAGGTGTGACGCAAGCTGTATGGAGGAGAGTAGGCTTATCACCTCCCTCTTTCTAGGCTTAATACCACCTCTGATGCAGTCTTAGGATCACCTGCCTTTTGTAGTTGGTTACATCTCACTTGTGGGCTTGTAATCTGGGGTTGGGCTTTGAGAGGTGCCACCTATCCCTGATAATAATTTATTCAACAATTTTTTTTTTTTTTTTTTTTTGAGACAGAGTCTCACTCTGTCACCCAGGCTGGAGTCAGTGGTGTGATCTTGGCTCACTGCAACCTCTGCCTCCTGGGTTCAAGCGGAGTTCAATTCTCCTGCCTCAGCCTCCCAAGTAGCTGGAACTACAGGCGCACGCCACCACGCCCGGCCAAGTTTTTGTATTTTTAGTAGAGACGGGGTTTCACTGTGTTAGCCAGGATGGTCTCAATCTCCTGACCTCGTGATCTGCCCACCTTGGCCTCTCAGTGTGCTGGGATTACAGGCATGAGCCACCATACCTGGCCTATTCAATAGTTTTTTTACTGAACATCTACTATATGCTGGTGTACAGATACACAGAACAACAAGAATGGTACATCCTCTGCTCTCAGAAAAATTACATAATCTGACAGGGAGACAGAGAAGCAGGGATTCACAACGTATTGTGATCAGGACTGTGGCTGGGATACACAAGGGGCTCTGGGAGTCCCAGTGAGGTACTCGATTCAGCCTGCAGGAGTCTGGGGGCATCTAAATTGAGATGTAAAAGATACGAGTGGGGGAAGGGGGGAAGGGGAAGGATGAGGTGAGGAAGTGTTCCAGGCAGAAGGAATCATGCATACAAAGGCCCACACTCACAGCAGTTTCCAGGAAAGAAAAATAAGAGAGGCTGTGATGTCGAGTGTGAATGAGATATTGAGAGGTAAGGCTAGAGAGGCTTTGCGAAGGGTCCTATGAGCAGGGTAAGGAGTTTGGATTCATCCTAAGGGCTCTGGGGAGCCAAGGAGGAATGCGGGCAGGCAGAGCACACGGTCAGTTGCTGGCTGGAGGCTGGGCGACCGGAAGCAGACCGTCCACATCCCAACCTTGGTCTCCTGGCAGGTGGGTTGGCTATGAGTTTCCCGGCTACCGTGGGCGCCAGTACGTGTTTGAGCGGGGCGAGTACCGCCACTGGAATGAATGGGACGCCAGCCAGCCGCAGCTGCAGTCTGTGCGCCGCATCCGCGACCAGAAATGGCACAAGCGAGGGCGCTTCCTCAGCAGCTGAAAGGCACTCGGACCTCAAGGACCCAGACCCACCCTGCGGGGGCTGCCAGGCCAACAGGAGGAGGCTCCAGGGCTGGGATGAGGGCCAGCCTGTCCGCCCTCCCCTGGAATCTGCTCAATAAAGCCTGGGGTTGGTCCCCCATCTGCCATGTTCCTCGCCCTGATCTTGTGTTTGGTGGTGCATCTTTCCATCTGAATATCTGTTCACTCTCCCATCCATCCACCCACCTATGTGTGCATCCATTCATCTATTCAACCATCCATCCATCCATCCATCCATGCATCCACGCATCCACGCATCCACCCACCCGCCCATCCACCCACCCACCCATCCATCCATCCATCCACCCACCCATCTATCCATCCATCCATCCATGCATCCACCCACCCGCCCATCCATCCATCCATACATACATCCACCCACCCGCCCATCCATCCATCCATCCATCCATCCATCAGTCCATCCATCCACCCTCCCACCAATCCATCCATCCATCCATCCATCCATCCATCCATCCATGCATCCACCCACCCGCCCATCCATCCATCCATCCATCCATCCATCATCCATCCATCCACCCACCCGCCCATCCATCCACCCGTCCCTCCATCCGTCCACACCCACCCGCCCATCCATTCATCCATCCATGCATGCATGCATCCACCCACCCGCCCATCCATCCACCCATCCCTCCATCCATCCACACCCACCCGCCCATCCATTCATCCATGCATGCATGCATGCATGCATCCATCCATCCATCCATCCATCCATGCATCCACCCACCTGCCCATCCATCCATCCATCCATCCATGCATACATGCATCCACCCACCCGCCCATCTAGCCAGCCAGCCATCTGTCCATCCATCACTCCATCCAGCCAGCCGCCCACTCATCTACCCATTCATTCATGCATTCATCTACCTACCACCCATTCATCCATCCATGCATCAGCCATCCATCCATTCATTCACCCACTTATCCATCCATCCATTCATTTATTCTTCCTTCCATCTCCCTATGTTATTTCTTCTTTCCATTAATTCATCCATTTTTCCTTCCACTCACCCATCTTTCTGTCTATCCTTTATCCACGTATCCATCAATTTTTCTTTCGATCTACTTGTCCATCAATCTGTCCATCTGATCTTCTTTCCTTCCTTCTTTCCTTCTTTCCTTCCTTCCTTCCTTCCTTCCATTATTTCCCCCTCCACCTCTCTGTGGGTCAGTATCTGTTGTCATTAATGTATTCGGCAAATGCCATGCCTTTTCCAAGGCCTAAGGACACAGCGCCATGTCCTACCCTTCCCACCCTCTCTGGGAGAGACAGAAAGTAAATAAACAGGTCAATTTGGGCCATGGTGCTGGGAGGTGGTAAATACCAAGAGCAATAAAGCTGGATAAAAAGATGGAAGTGATGGGAATGGTGACCAGGGAACTCTGTGCAGAGGAGCTGAGACCTCAGTGAACCACCAGAACATTCCAGGCAGAGAAATAAGAGCTGCAAAGGCCCTAGGCAAGAGTATGCTGGCCTAACAGGAAGCAGCCAGGGGCCAGCAGGTCTGGAATGGAGTAAGAGACTGGGGCTAGAGGTCAGAGGGAACAGGGTCAGGTTATTTAGGGCTCCACAGACCTTAGTGGACTTCGCTTGTTCTCTGAGGGAGGTGGGAGCCATGGTCTGCTTTGGGATTTAATAGAATCACGCTGGCAAGGGTGCAAATAATACGGTTAGTGGCCAAGGGAGGATGCAGAGAGACCAGTTGGGAGGCCACAGCAGAGAGTCTGGTGAGCTGTGCTGGTGTGGTCCCCCTGAGCCTCTCTCTCCCATGCCTCAGCATCTCTGTCCCCTCGCCCAGAGGTCTTCTGCAGCCTCACCTGGGGAACTGAGTGCCCATCTCACCTCCCACCACTGCTTAGGCCCCTGTGGCTTCATCTGGGCAGTGGGAGTTGCTGGAGAGCTGCATAGGAACACTGGGGCAGTGCCAGGCATAAATGAGGCCTCTTTTTTTTTTTTTTTTTGAGACAGTCTCGCTCTGTTGCCCAGGCTAGAGTGCAGTGGCACGATCTCAGCCCACTGCGACCTCCACCTCCTGAGCTCAAGCAATTCTCCTGTCTCGGCCTCCTGAGTAGCTGGGACTACAGGCGCCTGCCACCATGCTAAGCTAATTTTTGCATTTTTAGTAGAGATGGGGTTTCACTATATTGGTCAGGCTGGTCTCAAAATCCTGACCTCAGGTGATTCACCCACCTCAGCCTCTCAAAGTGCTGGGATTACAGGCATGAGCCACGATGCCTGGCCATAAGTGAGTCTCTTCTGCCCGCAGTGGGAAGCCAGCTGATAGAGGATTTCTGGCAGGCAGGCCCCAGGACCACCCCTCACCCGTCCCACCTCCAGGCATCAGTTCCTGACTTTGTTCCCTGTTGTGCCTGCAGCCTGTCTCAGCCACCTGCAGCCTCCCAGCGGCTGATGCAGCTGGTGTGTGGGAGGCCTATGGGGGCCTCAGGAAGGCGTCGAAAAGGATATAGTAATTTTCAGTTACTTTAACCTGCGTATTTTAAAAACATGCACAGGAGAGAAATCACGTTGACATTTTCTGAGCGTATGGGAGACCTGGGTTGGGCATCAGGGTCGGATAGGGCAGGGGTGCCCAGCAGTGAGACAGATGTAATGCCTATCCCTTTCTCCTCCCTGGATCCACCCCTTCTTCCCTTTCACAAGGAGGGGCCTTGCCATGCTTAACTCTTTTTTTATTTTTTGAGATGGGTCTTGCTCTGTCTTCCAGGCTGGAGTGCAGTGGTATGATCATAGCTCACTGCAGCCTCCAACTCCAGGTCTCCAGCAATCCTCCCACCTCAGCCTCCCAAAGCACTGGGATTGCAGTTGCATACCACCATGCCCAGCTAATTTTTAAAATGTATTTTTTGTAGAGATGAGGGTCTTGTTGTATTGCCCAGGCTTGTCTCAAACTCCTGGACTCAAGCGATCTTCCCACCTCAGCCTCCCAAAGTGTTGGGATTATAGGCATGAATCAGATGACTCCCAGTCTGTCATGCTTTTTTTTTTTTTTTTTTTTTTTTTTTTTTTTTTTTGAGATGAAGTCTCACCCTGTCACCCAGGCTGGAGTGCAGTGATTCGATCTCTGCTCACCGCAACCTCCGCCTCCCAGGTTAAAGCGATTATCCTGCCTCAGTCTCCTGAGTAGCTGGGATTACAGGCACGTGCCACCACACCCAGCTAATTTTTTTATTTTCAGAGATGGGATTTCATCGTGTTGGCCAGGCTGGTCTCAAACTCCTGACTTCATGATCTGCCCATCTTAGCCGCCCAAAGTTCTCGGATTACAGGCATGAGCCACCACGCCCGGCCTGTCGGGCTTTATAAATCAGTGCTTACTCCATCTCATTGAACCCTAAGAATGTCATTGGGAGGTAGGCGTGGTTATGATCTTATTTAACAGATGAAGAAACGGGCTCGGGGAGGCAACATCACCTTCCTAGAGCCTCACAGATAAGAAGCAGTAGAACTGAGACCTGCGTCCTGAGTACTGACCCCAGAAATGCCATCCCTGAGTGCCACGCACTCTGATGTATCCCTCAAGGACATGAAGGCACCAGGGAAGTACAGACGAAAATAGCAACAGGAGTTGCTGCAGAAACCATGGTAACAATGGCTGCCACTGTGGAGCTGCTGCTAAACCCCAATCACATTATTGGGTGTTTTAGAGTGTATTCTCGACTCTACAGACAGTCAATAGTGGTCCTCAAATGCAGAGAGAGAAACTGAGGCCCGGAGAACTGAAGCAAATTGCCCCAAGTGTCACAGCTCTTAACCGGTGGGACCAGGACTCACATTCAGGTCTGCCTTCCTTTCTCTGGCTTATGTCCCCACTCCCTACTTCCTGATGCTCCCTGGGATCCTGTCCTGAAAAAATTATCTGCACCTGAACTGTTGTCTTAGCGTCTGCTTCTGGCAAAGCCCAAAAAAGACACCCTGGGTCTTTATCATTAATTAATTCAATCAGTCAGTTACGTATTTTCTGAGCACCTACTATGTGCTAGATCCTACTATGTGCTAGAGACGACTGAGCCTTGGCTCAGCTCTCCATGAGCTGGCTCATTGGCTAAACAAGAAAATTGCCCAGGTCACATAAAAAACAAAGGTTGGCTGGGTGCAGTGGCCCACGACTGGAACTCTAGCCCTTTAGAAGGCCAAGGCAGAAGAATCACTTGAGGCTTAGAGTTCAAGACCTACCTGGATCCCATCCCTAATTTTTTTTTTTAATTAGCTGGGCACGGATGTATATACCTATAGTCTGAGCTACTTGGGAGGCTGGGACAGGAGGATCACTTGAGCCCAGCTCTTGGAGGCTACATTGAGTGAGTGATTAACACGGCTGTACTCCAGCCTGGGCAACAGAGCAAGATCCTATTTTAAATTTTTAAAAATGGCAAAGCATTTTGAGATTTTTAGGAACCTATTGGCTGTAAGTTGCACCAGGGTGGGGACCCTATCTGTGTCACTCCCCACTGAGTTTATAGCTGACACATTTGCTGGAAGCAGAAATGAATAATGAGGGAGTACAGAGAAACACGCAGGTTGCTGACAGTCTCTGTCTTGGCACCTACTTGGAGTGACGGAATGAAAAGAAATAAATATAAAAGTCTTCAAAAACATTGCCATCTGCACAGATGTAATAATAATGAACAGCATGAAAGCCATCGTTACTGAGCACGTTCTGTAATATTTGTAAGAGCCGCTGCCGAGGGCTTCACGTGGCTGGCTCATTTTACAAAGGATTTAATTACAAACACTCTAAGGCCCATGGACCCAGATATTTAATTCTTCACAAGTGTGAAGGAGAAGGAAACTGAGGTAGAAGAGAAGTAGGGTAGGCTGAGGGTTTTGGAGTCTACAAATCCTGATCTCTGAGTTCAAATCACAGCTCTACCACTTCTTGGCTGTGAGACTTTGGGCAAGAAAGTCCCCTCTCTGAGCCTCGCTTTGCTTGTCTGTAAAAGTAGAAATAGTCAAACGTCTCTGTAGCATGGTTTGCCGCTTCTGTCAGCCGTTGGGAACCCTGACTGCTTCCTCCATGAGCATAAGAGGTTGGTGCAAAAGTCATTGTGGTTTTTTGCCATCAAAAGT